TCCATGGCCTCGATAAATCTCCAAGTGACCTGAGAAACAGTGGACTGTCCTACTCCAAACGAAGCTCCAACGGAAACTTGGGATTCGCCAGAAGCCAATCTTCTCAAAGCGATAGCAACTTGCTTCTCAACACTAAGGAGCCTTCCCTCGATATTGATGAGACCCGAAGGTGGTCTGGAAATAAGATCTTCTCTTACAAGTGAACAGATGTACTCAAAAGTTTTCTTCGATACCCGGAAGAAATATTTGAATCCGTGTTCCTCGTTGGAGGGTTCATTTGAACCTGCAAATTACAAAATAAGTTAACAAAGGCACAATTAAATGGAGAAATCAAAAGCTGCGAAACTACAATCAAATAATAAAGAATTTATAAAAGGAATAACAGATTCAACCATAGGCTAAAAGTTTTGATTAATTATCAAGAATCAAAGAAAAGGCGTAAATACAAAAAGTAGATAAAGATCAAGAAAGGTACAGTAAAAAGATTTAACTTGCTGAAAATGCACCAGGAGAAAGGGAAACATACCTAGTGTCGGAGAGTTCTTACGCCAGAAAATATCCCACCATTCAGAATCAACTGCTCTGTTATCTATGGGAACTGAGCTTACACTCTTGCTCTTCTTCTTCTTCTTGATTTTGCTCTTAATTTTGTTCTTCATTTTCTTGAATTTCTTAGCGTCGTCTTTCCTGGGTTTTTTGTCGGGTGCCATCCCGGCAATTTTTACAAGAGAATTGAAAGCAATTTTGATCTTAAATCGAATTTCATTAATATCAGCAAGCAAGATTGTCGGTAAATAGCAATTTAAATGAATTTATGCTTACGATTTCAGTTGAATTTCTATTAGCTGAAACCAGGCGAATGGACGATTTCAGATGGGCCGCGCTAAAGTAGTATATGAGGAAATATACAGAAATAGCATCAAACCTCGTTGAGTTTTTACGAAAGTATCACTAAATTAGGAAATATGGTGTATGTAGCTCTTTTGTAAACCTTTCTATATTACCAAACTTTTATGATGCTTAGCATTGCTTGGAAAGAGAGAGGTATAATTTCCCACATTGTCTCTAACCCACGTCTCAAATTTCTTCTTCTTTATTTATTTTTTCTTATTGATGTTTAGTGGCATTTACTTTTCAATTTCTTGTTTGAAACGTCTATATTTTGTTTTAATAATTCGATTTTAAAATCAACATTCTGTTAACAAGTATGAATGCTTCGCTAACAAAACAAAACAACAAAATAGGATCTTGATCATAGACGAGCAATATGCCATTAGTCGAAAACTCTTCTTTTCTTAATTTATTCAAGAACATGCTTTGGCCCTTCACAAATAAGTTCCTGATTTTACATATTTTTTAATAACCTGTGAAGCTTTTGCTCTACAAACAGGTCAAAAAATTACACACTGCTGCTATATTTCTTTAGGTCATCAGAAGAAGCCAAATTTGGTTTGCAAGTGTGAAGCATGTAATTGCAGGCTCCAACAGCCTCTCCCACTGTCAAGAAAATCCATTCTTGGCCTATTGTTTCTATGAATTTGGACTTGTTCAGCTTCTTCATAACCTCGCCACCAGGGTTGGCCAATGCAAGCTGCAAATGCACCAAAACATTCAAGTCAACACGACAAACGAACCCTTAATCTTGGTCGACTATATAGATCTTTTTTCGTTGCTCAGTTTGATCTCGCGAAGTCAACAAGATTGTACGAGATAAAGAAGACTGACCTTGATGCCTCTTCTATCGATGATCTTTTTAACCTCCTCAAGCATGCTAATCCCGCTTGTATCAATGTTTCCAACAGCTGCCAATATCATATAAGAAGGTGAAATGTCCAATTTAGTTTTAAGTTTTTTCCATAGTGTTCAGATCAGAACACTATTTCAGTAGCATTTTTAAAGTTGATCACTAACCACTCATGTCAAGTATGACATACTGAAAACTCGTTTTTCCCGATAATTTTATCTTATCTTCTTCATCATCTATCCACCTACAAATTCTGGAATTAAAATTAAAACGAAT